TTCAAGACAGCTCGTGTGAAATAAGCGTGTGCAAAATGAACACAAGACAGAGTGAGAGAATCCGCAATAGATGAGCCAAGGCACTATACACGGATGGTATTTCTTCGAGGGGGATTCCAACATCTGCAGCCAGTTCGAGCGCTGCACAGTAGTCCCTGAAAGTTTCAAGAACAGTTGGAGGAGTCAACAGAAAGGTGGAACACTTGTTCAACACGAGAGGCAAACATCATGCAAACAGCCCAGCCGGTTGTGCCCTGCACCTGGCATTCTTCTCTCCAAAGCTTCGATTCAACTCATGCTTGCTGTACTCCCTCCTTATCACCTGCAAAACGCTCACTCAGGGCTCGGCAATCAAAGCCCCCCGCAAAACATGAGATCAGAAGCAACCCACTCTCCCGGACTTTCTCGGCAGTTGTCAGACATGCTAATGATCATCCGACAAGCTCCAAAGCTGCGCCTCAGGACTTTGCATCTCCTGCATTTTTCGCCCATGAGCTTCCAGCTGGTGCTTTAAGGCTGCAAGCTCTACATCTTTCTGGGCCAAGGACGCTTGGTGCTCCAAGCGCAGCTTCAAGGTGGCTTCATGCTGTTTCGTCGCCAGCTCACGCTGCTCACGTTGCTCACGCTGCTCATGCTCCCTTGCTGAAAGCAACTCTTGCAAAGCCGCCTTCTCCATGCGAACTGAACTCAGCTCCTGTTGAAACAGTTCTGACCTTAGTACCACTTCAACATACTCTTCTTGAAATGCGGCTTTTTCTTCTTGCAGTTCCATCCCCTTAACTTGCAACCGGTCTCCGCGTGAATTGGCAGCATGATGATTGGTTTGAAGGTCCTCCTTCTCCAAATTCAGCTTCCTTATCGTTTCTTCAGCATGAAGAGCAGATTTCTGCAGTGCACTTCTCTCATCCTCACTTCTCCTCCACTCTTCCTCCTTCTGCTGCAGTTTCATCTGAAATGATGTAACATCTTGCTCTCCTTTCTCCTTTGCTCGAGTCATGTCCTCCAATTCTCGCTTGATGTGATTTTTTTGAGATTGTATCGTAGTCCTAACCACTTGTATCTGACGATAGCTTTGTCTAGACTCCTCCAGGTCAAGTTTCAAAGCAACCACTTTCTGTTCCAACTCTTCCCTCTGGCACATGGATTTCACTTGGTCTGATTGTGCCTTGAAAAGAGCTTCTTCCAAGTCACTCCGCTTCTGCGCATGAGAATGCACATCAGCATGGGCAAACTCCACCTTGCCTTCACTGGCTGACAGCAGCTTCTGTAGGAGCGCTCTTTCCTCTCGAGCCGCATTCAGCTCTTGTTGCAGGCTTTCGTTCTTGTACTGTGCTTGCTTCTGTTCCTTTCCATGTGCCACCTTGGCCTTCAACGCATCCATTACCTTTGCTTCCATCTTCTCTCGATCTGCCCGGGAAGTTAGCTGCTTTGCCAACAAATCCTCCTTCTCCAAATTCACCTTCCTTGTCGTTTCTTCAGCATGACGGGCCGCTTTCTGCAGTGCACTTCTCTCATCCTCAC